AAGATCCCCATGAAGGAATGCATTTTTAACGTCTATTTGATGAAGTGTCCATTGGCGGACTGAAGCAACTGCTATGAGAGTTCGAACAGAAGGCATACGAGCTATAAGGGCAAAGGTCTCTGCATAGTCGACTCCGTATTCCTGATTAAACCCTTTAGCAATAAGGCGGGCCTTGTACCGGTCAATAGAACCATAAGATTTGGTTTTAATCTTATAAACCCATTTGCATCCTATTGCGGTATTACCACGAGGCAGTTGAACAAGTTCCCATGTGTTTGTTTTAGCCAGGGCATCTAGTTCCTCGAACATGGCTTGCTGCCACAAGGGATCTGCAGAAGCCTCTCTATAGAATGAAGGCTCATGCAATGACAACATATTAGTTAAATAACAATGATAATATTAATACTTAACTGGTGGATGATGACCACGGCGAGGTCGAGAAGAAGCCATTAGAGCATTATCAAGTGGCAGCAAAAGAGTTTCTTGTGGTGGCAGATCACTTTCTGGAGGAGCAGATAGAGAGCGGTGCATAGAGTTGTCTGAAATTGATGGTAGACAATCATCCATTGATGTGCGTACTGATGGGGCATTGGAAGAGCGAGTTGGTGACTCAATGGACAGTAAGGAAGGATTATGAGAATGAGTAGAGGCGGACTCAATGAATGGGTCAAGAAACTGAAAAGTGTGGGAAGATGAGTTTTGTGTGTTTGGGAGAGAATAAAAGGGGATTTTTTCCCAGAATGTGACATGGCGAGAGATACGTAATTTTTTGGTCAGTGGATCATAGCATCTATATCCTTTTTGTTGAACCCCATATCCAAGAAAGACACAAATAGCTGTTTTCTTGCTAAGTTTGGTGCGGTCTCGTTTGGGAAGAAGAACAAAGCAAGTTGACCCAAAGACACGGAGTTCTGAATAATCTGGGCGAGTGTTATAAAGATGCTTAAAGGGAGATAAACCATTGGTGACCAAAGAGGGGATGCGATTAATGATAAATACAGAAGTATGAATAGATTCCCCCCAAAAATGACTAGGAACAGATGAAGAAATCAGTAAAGATTTAGCCGTTTCGATAATATGTCGGTGTTTACGTTCTGCAACACCGTTTTGTTGTGGTGTTTCGGGACAAGAAAGTTGTGGAGTAGTTCCTTGGGATTTTAGATAATCAAGAAAAGAAGTGGAGATGTATTCCCCACCTGAATCAGAACGAAACACTTTGATGGTTTTGGAGAACTGGGTTTGAATAATGGTGCTAAACTCAATATAAATCTTAAAAAAATCTGAACGAGAACATAATAAATATATCTAGGTGTAGCGAGAGTAATCATCTACAAACAAAACATAATATAAAGCACCTCCCATGGAGAAAATTGGAGCTTTACCCCAAATATCAGAGTGCACAAGGTCAAAGGGAGCAGAAGAAGATGTTGTACTATTATTAAAAGGAAGAGCAGGTTGTTTTGCCAATCTACAAGTGATACAACAAGGTTCTTTGTCAATTGTAGATTGATCCAACAACCTTTTATTGAACATATAGCGAAGACAAGAAAATGAAATATGGCCTAGACGTGAGTGCCAAGACATGAACGGTGTACAAGTAGGTGTGAGGGCAGCGAAGAGCGATGTGATGGGTGAGCAAGGAATGTGAAGCTTGTCTACCACATATAATCGACCAACTCTACGACTGGTCCCAATCTGCTTCTTCGTCAAGTGATCCTGAATTATACAACCGAAGGAAGAAAAGATAACATTAAGGCCAAGGTCACATAGTTGTCCGACAGATAACATATTCATGGACAATTTAGGGATTAAGAATACATCTGGAAGTGATAAAGCATCAGTTATTGTAATATAACCAATATGACTAGCTGTAACAGGTGATCCATCTGCAATATGAATTATTGGTGATGAAGTAATAGGTGTAGAGTGGTGAAAAGATGATGGATCATATGTCATATGATTTGATGCACCTGAGTCTAAAAACCATTCTGTTGAATATTTACCTGATGGTACAGAAAAAACTGATGCGATCTTAGGATTATTACCGACATTGTTTTCCATATTAAGAGCTTGATGAATCATCTCTTGGATATCTGCTGCAGTTGGTGTAGTGGATTGAGCAGTGATGTTTCTGCCATCATATGGAACAGAGGCTGCTGTAGACGATACAATAGTAGTTGAGCCTTTCTTCTGTCTCATATAGCTAGAGTTTGGATGAGGACAGAAGTTGACCTTGTGTCCATATTCTTTGCAATAACGACATTGAATTTGAGTTAAATCACGTTGCGGTATATCTAGATTTCCTTTCTAAAAAGTATTATAAGAGCGAGGGGCAGCAAATACTGAGTTTATTTCTAGACTAATGCCATTTCTTGTCTCTTTTGTGAGGAGCTTGGTCATGGTAGCATCTACTGTTGGGAGAGGTGACTCATATAAAATTGATGCTCTTACAGATTCAAACTCATCTCGAAATGCCATCAAGAGTTGTACCAGTCTTGTTTCCTCACGATAGGTATCCCACAAAGGTGCATTTACGGTCCATTAAGGTTCTGTGAGTGCCAATTGATCCCATATGACAGACATTTCGGAATGAAAATCTGAAATGGATTGTCCCTTTTGCTGTTTAAGAGATCGTATGTCCCCTTCCAATTTGTATATGTGGGCAAAGTTTTTTGTGGACATATCTTTTAGACAAAAAATCTCATGCTTGTTTGGCTATATCAAATTTCCCAAGTTGCATGCTGATTGACGATGTGACGGTGTTGGCAATCCATGTGAGAATTTTGTTGTTGTTGATCTCCCAGTCGGCATGTGTTGAATCATCTTTGCTAGGACACTTTGAATCATCACTAATGTACTTCCATAGACCCCTTCCCTTGATAAAGCTTCTCATGAGAAAGGACCAGTGGCTGTAGTTGTGTTCATCTAGTCTAATAGTGATAGGTTGGGCAGATTCCAAGGCCATTAGACAATTGAAAAGGGATAGTGAATAGATCAGATGTAAAGCAAGGGTTTCAAAGCTGTAAGGGACATCGAGATACAAGATAGGGAATAGCAGCAATGATACAAGAAAACGAGAAGAGCTAATAAGAGAAAAGCTCTGATACCATGTTGAAAGAGACAAGATCTTCTTATTATAATTAATTCAATATGTTTACTTGGGTGAGAACCCATGTATATATACAATCCTAAAGTTGACTAATTACATAGCTGAAACATAGCTCTAAATTACAGCATATAAAATAGGAGACTTAGTTGACTAATCAGCTAAATTACAGGAGATGAAATAAGGAAATGAATAATACTAGTCTTACCACATTTTTTATACCACAATTTTATACCACATGATGTGGCCGCTGATGTGTATATACCAAATCATGTAAAATACTAGTTTTTATTTTTCTAATTTTATTTATTAAAATACACTTCATTCATTTAATTGATGTGACATATGTCACATCATGTGGTATAGAAATGTGAGATAATAAAGATAATAATGTGGCATAATAGACGTGATTGACTTTAACAGCATATATATGGAGCCCACAACTACAATAATATAGTGTCACATTTATTTAAAATTAAATATATATTTTAAAATAATTATAATTCATAAAATTTTAAAAAAAACAAAAATTTTATGAATTTTAAATTTAAAAAATTAAAAAATTTCGTAAGGACCATTTGTGATAGGTGTGTGAACTTCAAGGATGTTTTGTGATATACATATATGCCACGTCAGCAAACTAACGGAGTTTTTTGACGGAATCTAACCACAGAGACCATTTGTGATCATGCATACTAACCTTGAGGACCACGATGACAAAAAAAAAACATTAAAGATGTAATATGATAATTTTGTAAACCTTAGAGACGTTTTTTGATAATAAGCCTTCTTTTTTTTATAAAAAAATTATTGACTAGCAATAGAAGCACCTAATTCAAGTAATTCGGATTTAAACAAACACACTGAAAAGGACTTGTGCATAATAGGTTTTGAACTCAGTACAGCCCTATTCGACAATTCCTTAAAGCGTGTTTCTCACCTAATTTTAATTTAATAATAATAAATGAATAAATTATTCCCTAAAAACAATTAGGATAATGGGGTGATGTTAACCTGCCTACAGCTATCAAATTATTATATTCGGTGTATAATAGTATGGATATGGAATATACAAATCAATCAAAATCTGGTTTTAAAAAAATTAATATACATGTCGAGCCTATCAATTTCAAAGGACGAAACTTATGAAAATGTATGACTGCGACATTCATTTTATCGTCACATTGATCTTTCTATTAAAGAAATATTAGAGGGTTAAGTATGACTCCTTTGTTTCATTAAGATAATCCCTGTAACGTCATGTCCATCTTATTGGCTTGGACCTTCAACCGTCTTTGAAGGCTACCCTAAACTTTTTGAGTAGTTTGGTGTTGCTTACTTACAAGGACAGTCTAAGATTCCACTTGTGACTTGTGAGAAGAGGGAACTCATGTTCTTCCCCTCTCAATTCGAACCCGATGTGTGCCCTAATCACCTTAGGTTCTAGATATATATGCACCATCAAGCCTTCGGTATATTGGAAGGGATTGAACTCTCGATGCATTGACCTAAGCACTAGAGAGTGAAGAGAAGAAAAATTTATTAAGCACACCAAGCAAATAGTTTGATGAGATTTTACCATAAAAAGTTAAACTTAAATATTTTTTTATAAATTAATTATGACGAGATAGGTAAGAATTTATACCTAGTAATGGCCACCAACCTACAAACCCATTACATGCAATGCAAGTTTAGATAAATCCTTTAAATTGAGTGCAAGTTTATTTTAAAGATTTTTGTTAAAAAAAAAATTTGAGTGCAGCTTCGCATTTTCGAAGTCAAAGCAAGTGCACAATGAGTACCGACTATGCAGTCAAACATTGAAGTACCCAAAAAAGGGATGGCAATCTCGTAATTAAACGACAATTGAATGGCAATCAATAACAAACTCGATTCTTGACTTCAGCTTTGTCTCTCGTTACCACATGCCTATATAAACCCCAAAATACGAAACCTCTCTTCAGTGTGTGCCCCAAAATATCAGGCACACATGGCTTGCTCCTCCTCCCAACTACCATCGCCATCCACCACCGTCGATGAAACCAGCCCCGCGTCAATCTCCACCGTCCATACGGACATAATCCAGACCCACATCCTCACCCGCCTCGACGGCCCCACGCTTGCCTCCGCCGCCTCCACCTCCTCCCAACTCCACGCCCTCGCCTCCCACCACCCCCTCTGGGCCAACATCTGCCACTCCACGTGGCCCTCCACTTCAACGCCACGTGTCCGCCAAGTCATCTCCACGTTCCCCGATGGCGCCTTCTCCTTCTTTTCCGACTCCTTCCCGCTCCTCACCAACCTGGATGCCGCCGCAACAACTCTCGCGTCGAATCACGATCAGGACCGCCCGTGTGAATTAATCTCGGCCGTCGATATCTACCACCGCGACAAGCTCATTCTGAGCAAGGTCGTCGAGACGGAGACCGTGACCGGGTGGTTCCGGTGCTCGCCGTTCCGGATTGACCTGCTGGACCCCAAGGACGTGGTCCCCACCCAAATCAAGTACCCGGCGGGCCAGGAATCGGACACGTGTCGCGACCTCGGGGATGATCTGACCCTCAGCTGGATTCTGATCGACCCGATCGGACGGCGGGCGATGAACCTCTCGAGCCACAGGGCGGTGTCGGTGCAGCGGCACTGGCTGAGCGGGGAGGTGCACGCGCGGTTCGCGTCGATTCTTCCCGGGGAGAAGGGGTCGGCGTCGGAGCAGGTGCAGTGCGGGATCTTGGTCACGTGCGGGGAGTCGGAGGGAGGTGAGCTGCAGGTGAGGGAGGTGAGCTTGCAGGTGGAGGACATGGATGGAATGCATTTGAACGGGAGGGATGGTTTGGTAATTTTGCAGAGGGCGTTGGAGGGCAGAAAGGGAAGAAAGAAGAGCAGGAGAGAAGAGGAGGGAAAAAAGAGATACGAAGAGTATTTAGAGAGGAAGAAGGAAAGGAAAGAGAAGAAGCTGAGGACAGAAGGGACATTAGATACTCTGTGTGTGGCTTTTGGGGTATTGGGGTTTTTCGTCTTCTGGTTATTTATTCTGTGCAGATGAAACTCAAATTATTCTTCTTCTTTTTTTCCTGTCATTTTCTTTCAGCGGTTTAGAAGAAGCATGTTGATAGGAAATATATATATATATATATATAAACAAAAAAAAAGTGTTCACAGCTTTATTTCTCATCAAGAATATAGATGTAAAAGGGATGAGGCTGACACTCACACGACACGGGTTATGTTGTATCATGTATGAAGATTCATGTGGAACGAAATACAATACGAATCATGTTGTGTTTAAGCAAGATATCAAGTATTCGAATTATTGTTAGATGTAGACACATTGTGAATCATGTTAGAAAAATATTTTGTATCACGTAAAATAGTAATTTAAGAGAAATTTAACTAATACATAGAATGAATTATGTTGTATTGTGTTTAAGTAAGATATCATGCATTCAAATCTGATGAATTAAATTATTGTAAGATATAGACTCATCGTGGATTATGTCAGGAAAATATCTCGTGTCACCAAATATAGCAACTTTAAGAGAAACTTCACTAATGCACAAAATAATTATGTTGTATTATGTCCAAGCAAGATATCGTGTGCCCAAATTTGATGAATCGTATTATTGTTAGATGTAGGACTATGATGTGGATCATGTCAACAGGATATCTCACTTGTGAAGCAAAGCATCTGAAGACATCGAAAAAGGGCAAAACGACTCGCTCCACTAACTAATTAGCAACTACTACCTACTTGGGCATACAATTAAATTAAATTAAATTAAACTGAAGTGAAAAATGTTGTGTTGTCGAGTCCTAGAAAGTGCCATGACATGAGAGCGTGACTGCCCTTTCTGACGCGACAAGAAGCCACCAAGAAAACCGGTTTTGGGCGGTGGTTGTTAATTCACGGGGAAATGATTTAAGGAGGAGAAGTGGTGATAAGTCTCTCTCAACTCTAAACTCTCTCATGTCTCATGTGTGTTTTCGGTTTGTCTTTTGGGGGCCTTTTTTATAAAAAAAAATTATAATTATAATTATAATTTATAATTTTAATTTTATAATGGAGGCCCCTTGTTTTTTTTAGCAAAGCATATTATGTTTTTGTGGGTCTCAATTTGGGTTATTGTTTAGATGGGTTCCCCTAGCAGGTACTAACGGCCCAAGACGTAGGAAGAAAGTTTTATTTTAGGCATGCTGCTCTGCTTCTATTGTTTGTGGCACAAGTGTGTGTGTAATCAGAGAGAAACTTCCATGTAACGGGTTTATACCCTTCTTTTCTATGTCTTTCTCATCACATAACAACGACCCACTTGTTGTATGTGCAACGAAATGGACATTTAGTCATGGAAAATAAAATATTTTCTGCAATCTACAACAAAGCAATGAAATTTCAGTGTATGTATCCAACATAAGGAATTACAAGCATCGAAAAAGGAAGGCAAAAGAAGGAAGGAACATGAATAGGGTAAAAAAATATTTGAAATGCATGCTTACATAAACAAAAGCAACACATACATGTTCACATATTAGCTAAGCCCATCCTTCCATCATTCTTTGTCCTTAACCAAAATGTGTAGTGATTTTGGTATGTTTGCCAAAGTCCCATCAATTCATCCAAAGCAAAATTCCATATGTTCTTACTTTGTAATACCCTGCTATGCTTCTAAGTTGTTTTTGAGTGTAGGATAATACAGCAAACTCAGATGAAGTTGATTTTCCTTTCTTCAGGCATTTCATTCTTCCTGCAAGTGCCTCCCAGTAAGTTAAATGTTTATGTAAGTGAATCAACTGTCCTTTGTCGGATCAGGAGGTCCTCTTGCAATTGGCATTCCGCCACCATAATTGGCTTTCGGCTTTGCATAGTCCACAAAAATCACACGTCCATTCAGTGCCTGCCGGTATTTTAAATCTGTTATTTTGGGATACCTAAGATCAAAAGAATCAAATGGATAAAGGAATACAGAAGACAAGGATTTACCTTTCCATTCATCTCCTCTAGGGCTTTGTGGGCTTCATCTTCTGAAGCAAAGGTCACAAACCCAAATCCTTTTGATCTGTCGGAAACTCTGTCTGTTACAATTTGAGCTGCCAAAAAAAACAAAGGGTTTAAGCACCTAATGACAGAATTTAATCAGTTCAGAGACAGTTGCCTCAATATTCTTGCATGTGAAATATCCCACAAGTCACCTTCAATCACTTGACCATACTGAGAGAATGCTTCAGATAACCCCTTATCATTGGTGTAAAATGACAGTCCTACAAAATGGAGAGAAAAAGAAGAAACAATAATAACCCCCATTGAAAAAGTTAAGAAGATAGTAAAAAGAACAACTATGAACTCATATGTCATAACATGAAAATTTGGATGAGGGATCATTCTTTTTGCTAGCTTGAGCAAAACTAAAGCAAAAAAAATCTTTTCTCAAACAAGCTTTACAGGTCAAATCATACAAGAACAAATTATCTCATGCAGAGTGTACAGAGTCAGAGAAGTAAGAAGTCATTCCCATAACTTCTCATTAGAATAACACCATGATTGCTACTTAAAATTCACCATTCTGATGAGAAATGTTTGAAGTACATAACGAACTGTTAAATGATATGTTTTCTTATAAACAATGAGATTAGCTTGAAACAGAGTATGTGTATGTTTTTAAGTGTGTGTGCGCACTCTGTTTCAATATATAATTTCTTTTTTTCTTGTGGGTAAATAACACTGAATAAGCATATCTCTATCTCTAACAGGCATTACTTCAGACACTTTGTCAACCTAGTTCAATTAATCATATATCACCACCAACGTTAGCCAAAAGATCATCTTCTTTCTTCTTCTATTGCGTGTTACGTGGAAAAGATAACCCACGGGGATTAATTTCAGTTTTTAGGTATTATATCTAATAAAGAAGAACAGATGATCAGAAATGGTAACAAAGCACAGAGAGAGAGAGAGAGAGAGAGAGAGAGAGAGCATATATTACCGCCAACGAAAAGCTTAGTAGTTAATCCCCGGCAAGAGATTAGAAGAGCGGGAGGAATAAGGGAGGAATATGATAAACTAGGGCTTGACCTCACCAGTCTTCTAAGCATCGCCATTACTATGATACTCTGGTTCTGGTACTACTCTTGTCTTACCAGAGAGAAACTAGAGGGAGGGAGAGAGAGAAGGAAGAAGAGGAAGGAGGGGGGCGGCTGGTGTTTTCTGAAACCAAGTAATTTTAACGTTTACAGGGTTATTGGGTGGGCTGGATCCAATCCAAAGTGACAGAAGAACCTGAAACCAAAAGAAGAAAGCTTTATAAAATCTTATAAACGACGTCGTTTTTATGTTCTCGATTTCGAGAGGCTTATTTGTAAAGAAAGCTTTTACAAAATTCGTGTGTAGAGACAGAAAACGATATTCGTGCACATTGCACATCGATATACCATCATCAGACACCATCCACATGAAGGCACCATGGTCAAATTCTATCAGACACCATCCACATGAGGGCACCATTGTCAAATTCTATCTTGTGTCTCACGAGAAACACTAACACAGTGCTGTCGCAGTGCAGCACCCTCTCACATCCGGGGTGGGATTACATATCATCCCACTGTGATAGGGTGCTTCAATGCGGCAGGACTACCGAAGAACTCGTGTCTCACAGTAAGATAGAAAGGATGGCCAGGCTATGGGAATTAAAAAGGATAAGGAAGAAAAAGGTTATTCATGTATACTCTGTGTACCTGCTACGCAGTAATAAAAGAAATAAAATAAATCCATAATCACAACGTCTTAACATAAGTTTGAATACAACTAATACAACCAAACCTCCTAAAGAACCAAAATTACTCCTCCAAATTAAACATTGGAAATAAAAAGAGCAAAAAAAAACTCAACTAAGTGTTACAAACATTAAATTCCAGGGGGAGATACATATGGATTAACAAACAGGCCAAGTGAGTGCCACCCTTGCAACCCTCCCAAGTCAGTAATTCCTCACGAAAGTTGACAAGCTTAGAGCGGAGAGAAGTTTTAGCGGATGTTACCCCTAAGCTGTTGTGCTGCGATTATTCTTGAGGACCAAAGTAGAATAACTATATACAGAACTTATTCTACATGATTTTGTACTCATATCAAATTTGCAGAGGCAGACCTCACTGGTTCCACTAAGTAATCATGTATGGTGCACTTTCAGCAATGCTTGGTATAACATGTCGATGAATTGGTCGTCCTAACAGAATAACAACACACGAGTCAGCCAATAATTGAATAACTTTACATTGAGGATGCTTATAACGTCGGAGGCCAAATGTACAATACAAGTCAAACATATTATCACTTTAAGATGCATCTATAGTTGATACACTGACTTCTTTTCTTGCTAGAAATTGATAACATATATATACTACTTCATCCTTTTTTTTTTTAAAGTGACGATAATACCTGAACAAGAGACAAAAGATGAAAATACCTGAACCAGCATCAGCAGTGCTTCACGAACTTTTTCTCTGTTAATAAGAGGCCCGTCATTGGGAGCCGGAGGCGCAGAATTAGGAGTTAAAGACGGTGGGGGCGTCGGTGGTGGAAAGGGTTGAAGCATTGGAGTACCATAAGGGCGTTGCAGATTCAGGGGAGGATGAAGTGCAGCAGCAGTTGGCACAGCTGAAGCAATAGGTGGTATAATCAACGAAGATGAGGATGCAGGGAGAGGGAAGAAAGAAGAGGGCTTTATAAGATTAGTGACTCGATTGTTGCTGGTGGTTAGATCAGAGGGGACATGCTGTGGGGTTGGTGTAGATGGGACTGAAAGGGAAAGGGGTGGTGGTTGTGGAGTTGGTGCAGGAGGTGAAACAGCACTGGGTGCATAGGAAGACGCTGGAACAGTTCCAGCAGAATGATAGGCCTGTCTTGAATTTGTTGGGTTTGTAGTATTACCTCCAATATTCATAGCTGCCTGCAGTAAGATTAGGGGACAATATGTTCAGCCCTTATTGGAAAACAAGCTACAGCGAGTAAAGAGATACTGAGTAAGGACAATACACAACACAAAACTACATCAGTCAAGTTTCTTAGAATACTTCTATCCCAGAAAAAAATGAGAAGAAATGGTTTTTTAGAGAAACATTTTAGCCACAATCTGTAAAAACTAAAGCATCAGAAATAAGCTTTTCTTCATCTCCTGCACCTCCTTCTATCTCTAATACTTATAATTCCAATGTCCATTCTCAAACTTAATCTTACACTTATCCAGGCCTAAGAAAGAGAAAAACAAAATGTCCTCAAACTATAAAGAACTTCAAAGCATT